CATTTGTCAATCTTTTAGCAACTCAACCATATATCTCTGGAATATAGTAGGTGCACTTGCCAAACCAGGCAATCGTCGGTTACCCCCATGAGTTATTATCATTAGTAATTCCTGAGATTCCGATTCTACTTCCAACTGTAAATACGCATCTTTCAGATCTATCACGGTATATTTATCACCACCTTGGATTTTCTCTAACAAATAGTCTAAGGTAGGAATAACATGATGGTCATACAATAAACACGGATCTAAGGCCTAGCCAGGACGGGGGGCAAGGGGAAATCCCCACCCCCCCTTCAGAAAATTTCCACTTTTTGTGAATATCATTTTAAGCTAATAAAAAAAATATCCACCTTAATCTTCCCCTCACTCCCTGACCCTCAAAAATGTATTCATATATCTTTAACTATAATTTGAAAGAAAGAATATAAAAGTTTATATATTTTTTATAAAACTATTCATCAAGACAAAAGTGAAATGTATTATAATTATTAATAATAGATCCATAAAATTACTAAATAATATAATATATCAAATATAATATATCAAATATAATATATCAAATATAATATATCAAATATAATATATCAAATATAATATATCAAATATAATATATCAAATATAATATATCAAATATAATATATCAAATATAATATATCAAATATAATATATCAAATATAATATATCAAATATAATATATCAAATATAATATATCAAATATAATATATCAAATATAATATATCAAATATAATATATCAAATATAATATATCAAATATAATATATCAAATATAATATATCAAATATAATATATCAATATAATATATCAAATATAATATTTTATAAAGTGAGTAATTTTAATTTATTTACCTTAATAAAAGTAAAATATAATTATAAAACTATTGATAAAATTAAATCAAAAAATTAAAGCACAATACAAACAGTGGAATATTATATCAGAAAACTATAAAATATTGATAAGGACATCAGAAAATATCTTTTAAAGACATTGTGGGATGAATAATATGAAGATCGTTAAATAATTGAATGCAAATTGTTGCTATATTTATTATTAAGAGCATTGATTAGTAGAATTTGTTAAAATATTAACTGTAATATATTACCTAACTGTCAAATATGTCTGAAAAAGTGGAATTTTACCTAATATTTTTTAACTAATTCTATATAGGTGGAATATCAACTATATGTCTACTTACTTTTTATATATAAATTTCTTATACTTGTTTATAAATTATTACCATGCTTTAATATTAATGTATATACAAGTAATTTATTATATTTTATATAAACTAATAAAAATATATTTCATATTTGTTCCAGACTTATTTTTTTTATTAAAATTACCTCCTATCTTGTAAAAATATTTTCTGACTATATATAGACAGACTAAGGTAATCCGGTGCCCAAAATGGGGTTTGGGGGCGAAGCCCGCAATAATTTTATAAGCCCCCCCCCTTTAAGAAAATCCTGGCTACGCCTATACGACACGTTGAGTATAACTTTGAAATCAGCACAAATTCGAATATCGCCATTACTCTTGCGTACATTTACGGTTGGCGCTGACTACCCTAGTTATAGTCGAATCAACTTTTTCGATAATTCCTGCAGCCACTAATCGGTCTAATTCCATTTCAATTGCTTTGCGAAGTGGAAATGGTACCCTACGGGATGGAAACGATCTTGATACAGCGGTATCCTTTAAATGGATTCGCAAAGCAAAATCACATATATGTCCCATCTTATCATCAAAAATTTCTTGATGTTTATTAATCAAATCTCGAATTCTAGAATTTAGTGTTATGCAACATTTTCTTTTTGACCATATTACGTACTTGTTTAATCATAACCTGACGAGGCATTTCTAAATTGAATTATTACCACTGATAGGTTCCTTGTCTGTGACCCAATCCTAACATTGACTTGGGTCTCGTACTTAACGTCTAACGGATGATCACCATATGCAATCAATGGACTGGTTGGCCTAATTTTTGGTCGTCCAATACTTGTTTATATATCAATTCCTATCAATGACGCTTGTGCACCAGTGTCAAAATCAAATTCAACATCTAACCCATTTATCTCTGCAGTTAGTTTTTTTCGATTTTGTTGAATCTTCCATATATTATGAATAGAATCACTTGATGACACTCTTATATAAATTAAATTCTTTGATTTACAACACACTGCAAAATGACCAATTTTTACATTTATTACATGTTGCATTTATAGCTGGACATCTCACTTCTCGGTTATGAATAAACCCATATTTATAACATTTAAGTTTATTATAATATTTATCATTATTATATTTGTATTTATTATTCTCTTTATCAAATTTATTATTATACTTGACTTTATTATAGCCTTTATCAAATGTAATCGTTTTAATTGGATGTTTATAATTATTATCATTATCATTTCTTTTGTTATTATTATTAATCTTATTAACAACAGGCATATTTTTATTTGCCATTTCTTTATCTGCTCGCTCAGAAGCAATGCCAGATCAAGAATAAATTGAAAGTCAATACATTATTATCTCGATTAAGACCGTAGTGATATAGAGAGCTCTAAGATCTCTTTCCAATCCCGGTATTTCCATGCCAACCATAAACTAATCACGTAAACGCTCGTCAATATCATGAAGATAATGACAAAGCTTGCCAATTGTTCTAATTTTATCAGCAAATTCAGTTATGGTTTCAGTTGTTCTTCGTAATCTAACGAAATCAAATCTAGAAGCAAAAGCTGTTGACGTCGGTTTAAATAATTTAAAATATATTGACTTAATTTCCTTAAAAATAAAGTTTCGATCGAATCAGGATAACAAAAACGGTCCACCAACTCAATATTCTATTACCAAAAAATGTTAAAAATATATCTTCATATTGACATTCAGTTGGGCTTAGGTTTTTTAATTGAAAACTGGCTTCCCATTGAGAAAAGTATCTAAAAATAGATGTATCGTTATCGAATTTAATCGTAGATAAATCCGCTAATTTTTTTGAATCTCCATTTAAGGAATTATTTTCTCCATTCGTCGCCATTTGTGATAATATGACTAGGACTTATTAGTTATTTTTTTTATTTTAAAATAATCACATCAAATTTTTTTATTTTTAATTCGAATATTCCATTCTATTTTTTTTTATATAATATCTATAAATAATATTTTATATGATTTAAAACACTTACAAGCATGAAATTCGAGGTGGAATAGTTAGTTTGAACTAGAATAATGGTTCACCATTATTATTGTATTATCATATATAGGCAGCTTCTGAATCATAAAATATTCCCTGGAGGCAAATCCCCATCAAAAACCTAAACCTACGCTATAAAAAATTTCGCCACGTTCGTCTGCAATATTAACATGTTAATTATAATGGTACTCACTAGATATTTTAAAAAATGAAATAATCAATATTCAACTACCTTACCAAAAAATTGTGAAAATAAAGGAGTTTTGTAAAAGATAAAAATTAGCTAATTATATTTATTTAATAATTAAATACGTAATATATAGATTTGGTCATAATTTAGTAATATATGTATATTATAATAGGTCTATTATAAAAGTATTAAAAATATAATATTTTTACAAATAAGTTTTATTTTATCTGAGAGTTTAATTAAAACCCTAATAAATTTAAGTTACCTCCTTCCAAAAACTTTGAGGCAAAATGCTCCCACCCTTTTCCCCCATTATGTAGACGCTGTGTTTCTGCATATTTTGTAGATATATTTTTGCTCCTCAAAATATATAATTTGCTTCTAGCATGTAATATATTATCATATTTATATTGTCATCTATATTTTGTTGTTATACAGTAGTCGTTTCAGTTATATATATATAATATACCCTTGGGATTCATGTATAATTATCGATAACGTTGGTCTCCAAGTCCTAGAATATAAAATCTCTTAAAAATGTTGGCCATTGTTTAGCCATTTCTTGGCAATAACTAACATTAACCCCCGAAGCGAACCGTATTTTTACAAAATATAGTATAAAACACAAGTATTTTATAGATGTTGCAAAAATCTCAGCGAACTAACACGAGTCAATATTCCCAAACATTCATAAATTTTTTTGTACGTCTTTATATTTTCGCTGTTGAAAATGTTTCTTGTAACTTTTCCATTACAGATACCAAATATATAAGATTTAAACAATATATTTTTGTAAAAATTAAAAATTTTTCATACATTATTAACATACTTATAAATATAACAAAATCAATGTATAATTAATTATGTTTATTATACAAATATAATTTTCAAATTGTACGTTTTTATAAAAGATATGAATTTAATTATTTTAAGTAATTAGGCAATTATATTTATGATTTGTATTATTATATCACATGTTTAAATTGTATTTTTTATACACCATAAAAATATTTTTAAATATAATTTTAATTTAATCTAAATGACGTTTATAAAAAATATTTTTTGCACCGCTTGATTATTAAACTAGTTAGTTATAAGCTATACATAATAACAAACATAAATCTTTAAAAAAAATATACTAAAATAAAGCACCAAATAAAGTTAGTGGGATAGGATAGGTATTGTTATCATTTAAAAATTACAATTATTATGCTTTGTCAATAATTTCAAGAACACAGAAGGTGGGAGGGGGGGGGGTTATATAAATTTCAATCAAAGGGTCCTAAAAACATTAAAGAAGAATATATTCTGAGTTTAAACCCTGTGCGATAAAAATAAAAATTATGTCATTACTAGAATTGGAAAACTTTCATTTTCTATAAAAAATGTATCTAATTATAGTTAGATTTTTAGAATCATATGCAATTTAAAAAAATATATAATAGATGTACATAGAACACTAAATATAATCGAGATATTGGCAGTTAATTAGATATTTTTTCAATGAGCGATGAATTCAAAAAAATATGAATCTAATGCTATTAAAACCAAATCCAATCTTGGGTTTGTTTTTTTTTAAAAAGGAAGATATATTTTTATAATTTAAAACATATTATTTTTGATTGTGACTTTTTGATTGTATTTTTTTGTGCGCAAAAGCAAAATATTGCTCATTTTTCGTTATATATCAGTTCCGCTATAACATTATTTTTGATGGTATTTAAGGTTTGATCAGTTACATTTTCATTTTGAGAACTCGCTATTGATAGGTTATGAGCTGTGGTCAGAATCAATTGTTTTTCCGCCTCGGTAAAATTATTCAGATCACTAGGTCTTTTATTTATTTTTTCAAAATATGATAAATTATATATAAAATTAGATATGGCAAATTCGGCGAAATTTTACTTTAACTTGGTTTACAGTTTAATTATATTTTGATGTAAATTTTAATTCGTAACATAAATAAATTTTGTAAACAAAGACTACTTTTTTTAAATAAAAAAAAATCCATAAATATTTTTATCTATTTAATATCATCCTAACTAAAATTTTAAATTTTCTTCATTATTTTAAAGCGAAGTGATTTTAAACATTTTCATTATACTCCTACCAAATCGATTTTTCTGGCTCTAGTCCCATCTCGAAAGCTAAATTTGGCCAATTCCAAAACAACTTTGACAAGTTATTAACCTAAAAACATTACCATAATTAAGCCCTTATTTCCTGGTTGGCTAAGTTATAATGGATTTGGCGGAAGTTAGGCGATTAAACAACGCTAGTTCTTGACTAAATGATGGAACTAATTTAATATCCAAGGAACTATAATAATTATTATTTCGGGTAGGGTTGATATTTATTGATGATGTTAACCAGACCTAGCCCTTATAGGACTAATTTCAAATTCAAACATTTATTCTTTTATAAAGCGAAATAAAGAATCTATATTGAATTACCATTTTATTTCGTATTATATCGATAATGTACTGGCCATTGAGTAAGATTCGATTATTTATTCATAAAATTATCTACCTATATTTGAAATTTCCATATATTAACATGGTAGGTTCGAAACAAGTTTAACGAAAACAATAATAAGACATTCGAGTAATATTATTCAATTAAAATCCTGCAAAACCTTATCTGTACAAAAAGAATTCCATTGATGATATTCATGAGATCCAATATGGCTGTTAAAGAGGGTTTTTGTATGTGAAGGGACGGGAGGAAATTATTGCTAAAGTAAGTATTATTTGTGTTATTAGCATTTCCGTGGGTTGATTTATTAGCGGAAGCGTTGAGACATTTTTGCATGGCTACGGCTTGTTGAGTCAAATGCCTTAAACATGCCGCACTCTCGGAGGTTTTATCGTGATTTTCTCCTAACTAGAATTAGGAAAATATTATATAATCATAATATTTTCTTTCTTTCGAAAAAATATAATCATATTAATTAAAATAATAAAAAATATAAACTTACAGAATTTTTATATATATTGAAGGCCTGTTTTTCTTTAATGATTGCGGTCCTGAAATCACCTTTGCATGAATGGACACCGGCTATCAAATGATGAATGACCGCCGTTTTAAGGTTAGTTTCACCATAATAGCTTTTATATAAAATTAAGAGGTTTTATTAAAATATTTTCATATTTACTCTATGCTAAGTCTCAACGCATTTTCTAGATAGGACATTGATAATTCGTAGAGTCCATTGGCATATAGCACCAATCCTAAATTACTCTTAAATAACAAATATTATTATTATTATATAATTCTTTTTTCGCTACATCAAGTAATCAAAAGCGCGCAATTATTTTATATGTTTTTTTTTAAAAACTTTTCACTAATAAAATCGCGCGATCGTAAGCTAATTAGTAAATATTTAAATTGTATTTTATCGTTAAAAAATTAAAAAATAATAACTTGTAATGTTTAAAGATATAATTTAAAAAAAAAATACATTATTACATCTAAAGCTATTAATTCGGGATGGTCATTGTCCGTTATCAATAAGAGTAGATACCTTGCTCTGTACAACAATTTAAGCGCGCAACCCGTTCTAAAATTCGCCACATAATATAACGCTAAATTAATCTATTTTTTTAAAGAAAAAAACGAAACATATTTAGATTCGCTGTAAAATAGAGCGACCCTCCCCCTTCACCCCCTTTATATATTATAGAAATCATAAATAATATAAACAAAACAAATAACATTTCTATTTATAAATGAGTGTCATTGATATAACATAAAGTTTCATAAAAATGAATTATATAAAATCTCAAAAAATTTTTTTTTTAAAAATTATATCCGACATCTTTTATGAGATTTTTTTAACAAATTGGTTATTATAAAATCTAATATATTTTGAATAAAACAAATTGATTACGTAGTCGATGATGGTGTTCGAGTGATCAATTCCAAATATCCGTTCGCTCATTATGGTCGCTTTGTGTTGAAAGGCTAATGCCTATATATTTTTTATTTATTTACAATATAATCATAATTCGATATATCAAGAATTTCAAAAAATAACAATTTTTTTCTCTCTCATTATCTTTCGGGATTAATTTTTAATTTGAGCTCTGCCAGGGCGCGCTCGATTCGACGGCTCGGTCTTAGAGTAAGATGAGCTTCATTATTTAAATCTGAGAACCAAACGATAATCTAGTGAAGTTATTGTCCTTGCAAAGTATCATATTTATAATATATATTAACTCAAGTTTTTTAAAATTAAATTGAAAAATAAAAAACATGTAAAAGAAGAATCACTTGAAATCGATCTCCCAGTATATAACACAACCTAGCCAGGAGTCTCAAGCAGGAAGTTATTTCGGTGTGAAGAGGCCCGTACACGCTGTTCATAAGATTAAGGGATTCTGATATCAATTCGAAACCGTCTTTTAAATAGCCTTGCTGAATTTTGGTTTGACCTGCTAGGAAAAATGTGTGAGCGTCGTTAGCCTTGAAAATAAAAAGATTAAATTTTTTATCGTTCTCTATAATGACCATTGACACTCATCAACTTAATAATTATAACCTTAAAACCATTGGCAGACTAACCATTCTTATATTTTTTGATATAAATGTCAACTAGAGATCTGCAAGGTTAGGCCCGGCCCGTACGGGCTTCGGGCCTAATTATATTTAAAATAATCGGGTTTGGACCGGGCCTAATATTTTTTTAAAAAAATCGGGCCGGGTCGGGTTGGATTTTGAATTTTTTTTTAAAATATATCTAAATTTTTTATCAATTTTATATTGAATTTTTTATGTAAAATAAAAAATTTTGATATTGAAACTAAACGCCATATAACATATGTCTTTTATTTTGAGTAATTATAAAAATTAATTTCTGTTTTAAATAAATTCGGGCCGGGCCAGTTAATTATCTTAAAAAATTTTCGGGTTCGGGCCGGGCAGGCAAAATTTTTTTAAAAAAATTTGATGTTCGGGTCGGCATAACCATTTTAAAAAAAATTTCGGGCCGGGCCGGGCTTGAAAAATTAGGCCCGATGCAGATCACTAATGTCAACAACATGGGATTATAATTATATTGCAAGCTATAATTTTCTATAAAGAGAAGATAAAAGATTAGTATGACACGATAACCACACTTATTTGAATTGCACATAAAAGATATGCTTACTGCACATAAATGATATGCTTACTGCACATGTGTCGTTGCAAGACGTATTAAATATTTAAGGCAACCTATTTTCAATTAGCTTTATAGTGACATAGCTTTAAGGTTACTATAATTGACACCGTTAAACATAAGCAATAGATTGGATTATATAATACCGCATGGAAATTGTAACTATGCTACATGCCATACACACAAATTAGGCAATTTTTGCATTGTAACCCAAAAAATCTTAACTTTTGTTGTTTCAAGCCAAAGGACTTACATTAATTCGGCTAATATATTAAGCCTTTCCTTGATATCTTTGTTATTAATATGCCAATTGGGTATATATTTCATATCTATGATTCCTTTATTTTTAGGAAATCTAATTAAAACTAATGATTATTTGTTAAATTATATGCCGAAATGTCTAATTTCTGTCAAGATCCATATGTAGGCGTAGCCAAAATTTTACTGTCGCTGGTCAACATATGTCAATTTCCTAAAACGACCAAATTTTATTAAGATGAAATAAATAAGGCCCATTATTTTTAATTTTAATATATATTAACGGATTCACGAGGTCGCTTCCAGTACTCTATATATCATACAGAGCAGCAATTTCATAGTGTTTTAAATATTATGATAAAAGTTTTTTAATAAATAAAAATTTTAACTATAAAAATTTTAAATATAAAAAATGGTCATTTTGAAAATGTTTGCTAAAAAAAGGGTCATTTTAAAAATCTGAAGAAAAAAATGTAAATTAAAATTTAATGAGCCCCCTGATATTGTAGGTTAGTGAATGCAAGTCAAATTATTGCTAAACAACGGCCAAATTTTGTCAAGATTTACGTATTTTCTAATATATATTAGCGGAATAATGTGGTCGAGTCTATATAACCCCCCTCCCTCCAAGTTGGTTTCAGAAAAAAATATGGCCTTTTGTTGGATTCGAAACCAGGTATATCGGATTCATGAACAACGCACTCTTCGATCAGGTGACAGACGATATATGAAAACATATTTTTTTATTATTTACATAAAAATAAATATATGACGTTTCTGGGTTTCTGATGCTTGGTAATTTATAAAAATTATGGAATAACAATGCAGACTTGGCGTGCATTATTATTAGCCGAGATTGTAAAAACTAGTGACGCCACTTGCTTAATTCTTTTAAATATGATTTTTGTTATCTTTAATAAGCCTGTGTAATCCTTTATTAAAACCTTCAAAAGACGCATTTTTATGCGTAAACTAATCATTATCTGTCTAATCCCATTAAAAACAGTTAGCAATTTGTTTCATAAAAAATATCTTTTTTAACCGTCCTCCAAAAACCGGGTGGAGACCCATGAGAACTTTTTTGCATACCTGCCCTAATAGCTAGTCCGTCTCTATTAGAAACATTCAATAATTTGAATCTAATTACTTTATGTGTCACGTGTTTCACGATGGGGAACATGTTGATAATATCGTCCTCGTGAAAGGTCATACGAATGGGGCTGTCCAACGCGTATTCCCTCAAAACGATTTGAACGCCGCACTTAAGGCAAAATTGTCGTAAGAACACCAATTTTTTAAGTTGCTTGAGTTTCGAGAATTGGTCGAAGTTTTCGCCCCTTAAAAATAAATGGTGGTCATTTTTGGTATCGTTGTAATTAATGTTTTTGTATATATTGGAAAACGTCAATTACGACAGCTAAATGAATGTTTTATGATATTTTTTATAGCAAATTCAACATGACCATGAGCCTGTACAAAAAGTCAAAAAGTTGCAATAACTATCTCTTAATATATAATGTTATTTTAAAAATATTTTTTTTAGTAAAACTTACTCTTTAATGCTATATATATAGGACAACTCGACATCTTTACAAATACTTTTCCATAAATATCCGGGAGTCAAATTGATCCAATCCGTGTTACCTTTGATCACGTGTTATTAAAGCCATTTTTTAATTTATTAAAATTGAATAAATTACCATTATTCGTAATAGAGTTAAACGTTTTCTTCTTTTTATACTTCTTTTTCCCATTTTTATGAGGCTTAATTTGGGATATGCAAATAAAATATATATGATTTTTTAAAGATTTTCAATTTTTTTTTTCTAAAATAGTTTTACCTCAATAATAGATGCCAAATTGGTAATTGGATCAGCGTAAGAACCTAAATAGCAATTCAGGAAATGTGCAATCATGATTGAAAGGTAAGAGGGTTCGACGTTTTGAATTAAATTTTTAAAAACATGTTTAGCGCTCCTGGATATCATTTCATGGAGAGCTATATTCTTCGTTGTATGGAAAAAAAAGGAAGAAAGAAGTCATATTTATAATTTTCGATAAAAAGAAATTATAGTTGCCCCCCTGAATAATGGGAAAAATCTATATCCACAATTTATAATTGATGACTAGTGATGAAAAATCGCTTCGTTTGAGCCGATTTTTAAAACGGCTAGCTCGGTATTCCCCCCCCCCAAGTATTAAGCAAGTCAGAAAATTTTGCTGATAGATGGCACAAAGGTTAGAACAAGCGAAATCTCGAGGCTCAGGAAATATTTTTCTGGCTAAAATATTGAGCCAGCCGTTTTTTTAAAAAATATGCTCAAATGGTAGCGATTACTGATGATAACCGCATTAGTTCCAAGCAATAATATTTTTTCAGCGACATGAGAAATATCGTCCGACTGATGACCGAGTCAAAAAAAGTAGAACGATAATAGTTCGCAAAAATGTCTACAACTTTCAACAATACATATGCATGCGTTTCACAAATTTAATTGAAAAGATTGTAAAAGAAAAAAAAATGTAAAATTTATCGCGTTCATTTATTTACACTTGTTATTTTTTATTTTATATCAATTTTTTTTCCAATATTCAAGGAATAGGTCAGGTATATTATTGATATTTGTACTTTTAAATACGTGAGATTGGAATGGCACTCCAATTTTTTAGCGATAATTCCTAGATATCGGACATTTATACCCTTCAAGTGCAACATTTCAACAAGGGAAAAGCCGTCAATCGGAACCGCGGTATGCTCTTTAAAATCATTCAACTTATAAAATATATAAATATAATATAAAATATGTTTGATTTACCATATCCGGTATTTGATAACATATCACAAAATCCGCAATATCTAATAGAAGCTTTCTTTCTGCTTTCAATTTTTCGGCCTGGAAAATGGGGAAAAAAACATTTTAAAAAAATTAAAATTAGTGATGTACATTCTATGGATGTGGTGCCTATAAAAATCTTTAAAATATGGCCTCATTTTCACTATCTAATCGAATCTAATCAATTGGTTATTTATATATATCTATGTTTTTAAAGGAAGGATTGATAATTAATTTTTATTGAATTTAATCACTTTTATTCCATTAATATCATTCCATTTCTCATAGATCAAGTTTAAAATCAGATCTGTTAAACAACTAATATATTTTTCAAAATTAACTCATTTTTTTTTAAAAACATGTTGAATATTTATATATCTTATTCGTTATCTTTATTTGACAATTTTTATATTAAATATAGCCCAGAAACCTAACAAGATTTTGAATTTAAATCATGGTTTGATTGTAAAATATTTTATAATTTTTTTAATTTTAGGTTACTTCTTATAACAACTAAAAATAATTATAAATTCTAGGGTAAAAAAATTTTGACTGTCGAGTTGTGTCGAGAATATAGAATTATTTTCGGGTCGAATAGAGTTCGGTATAAAAAAACGCCTCGTTTTGAGCCGATTTTTAAAAACGGCTAACTCAACATTAGAGCCAGGAAAATATTGCCTAAGCGTCAAGATTTCGAAAATAGATGTTCAATCCTATGTGCCATCTATGAGTAAAATCTTTAGGCTTGCATAATATTTTTATGGATAAAATATTGAGTTGGCCGTTTTAAAAAATCGGCTCAACGTTTAACACTAGTCTCTAGCAGGTTTCTAGGGCTTATATTAAAGCTTCCTGCAGGACGTTTGTTTAATCTAGAAGTTTATTAGTGGAGAAAAACTAGCAAGACTTATACACCTGTTACATATGAAATATAACTGTAACTTGTTACTTTACAAAAGTAATCGTAAACAATACTATTTAAAATGTTACTAATACTTTTAAGCATGAAATGGTTTTACTAAGCTAAAGTCTATATAATAATGTACATATTAGAACCTTGCATCGGAACTTTTTTTCCGGCCCTTTCCGGAAATATTTTTGACAACTGACAATCGTTCTATTTTTTTAATTAAAAGGACTTAAACTCTTCGGTTTTTAGTAAGGGGGGAGGGATTTTAATTATTACATCTTCAGGTACGTGACGTACGCTCTTTAAGAATGCGTCAGGATTGAATTTAAGGTCCTCGAGGGATAAGGGGAATTTAGTACGTAATTTTAATTTAATTTCGGAAGAGGAATCTTGAGAGTCTTTACTTTTATCCACGCCGTTATAAAATAATTTTTCTGAATTGATATCTAAAAATGTGAAAAAATATAGTAATACATAGTTAGAGCTGAAATGGAAATGTTTATATACCATTGATATCATTCTTTAATATGTTTGTGGGTGAAATATCCTCATCGCTATCTTCTCTATCTTCTAAACCATTAATATCCTTAAACAATATATAATATATATTTCAGTGGCGTCACAGAAGGGCAAAAGCCTAAATTTATTAGGCCTCGCATAAAGAAAAATTAGGCTCTAGAAAACCACATCATATGTTATATCATTCATTATTTCTAAGTGCATAGCGGTTAAGGTTGCATTATAAATTGCTAAGGTTTTATTTTAGAAAATAAAAAATATATACCCATAATAAAAAAATATTTAATGGTTATATAAATTAAAAATTGTTTTTGAGCTAAAAAATTACTAAAAAAAAATCAAACTGACCACTTTTTTAAATATATTAAGATAATTGGAATTAAATTATGCTATATAAAGACAACTCTAGTGTGAACAGTTTCTGATTGGTCAGCTTGCGGATATACTATCTTAAAACATACCATAGAATCGATTGCAGAGTCCTTGTCTTCCGAATGAGATGAGATGCCGGAATTACTGGAGCCATCGCAATCGTTTAAATTTGCAAAATTTTTGTAGGCGACTTTCTTGGAACCGTTAGTGATAACATTTTCATCGGTCAATATAAGGCTACTCATATTCATCATATCTTCCGTGATTATATGATCCGAGTCTAGCTCATTTTTTTCTCCTATGTTGTCATTTGGTATATTGTGTTTATCCTTTTGTTTCTCATGGTTCTCTGAGAGTTGGGGAGGCGAGGCTAAACCTATTACATATTCAACGAAGGCTTCAACCAGTTCGGGCCTTAAGACGCATAATTGATGTTTGTATTTCTGCGGTAGTCCCAATTTTCTCGATTCGGCGCTTAATTTGAATCCGTCAACTAAAGAGAAAAATATGAACCAAGGGTATGTAAAAATTGTTTAGAGTTAAAATTGGAGGGGGGAGGTGATATAGTATATATAAATACCTGGTAAGAAATTGAGATCGGAAGGAAGAGTGCGGAATAAATCTAATATATAACGCCTACGATCATTGCCTATGATCCCCTTGCATTCGTAAGACGTATGCAATTCAATTATTTCGCAGTCAACTTTATCAATATGATCGATGGTAGATAATTCTCCATTAATCTCGGTCTTTGGAATAACGGCCATTTTGGATGGGCTATCACTATACACTCTATGAGTGCTAACCCTAAGTTTGGAGGCTATTTCTTTGAGTATTTTATCGTATTCAACGTTGGTTCTAATAATAACTTTATCAACGCTTTTCTGATGGGACACGGTTTCATCCTCATTTTTACCATTAGGTAAATTAGAATTGTTGGTGACGGGCGAAGGGCTAGAATCGATGCTCCCGTAAACAACTAATTCCTCCTGCTCTCGTTCCAATATTCCTGGAAGAAGGTATAAAATATTTATAACTCTCTTTCCGCTCGGATATTTATGAATTCCACCCACCCATTCATTATCAATCTTTCACATTATTATGCGAAAAGAAATCGGAAATTATTTTTTCGTTTAAAAACCTGGTATTATAGTTTGCCCTGTTATTCGATATCCTTTATAATCTACAATCACCGTTCCTAATGTATGAAATTTTTCTACATCCAAATCAGAGTATATTTCGACACCTCTCAGATCGTTGGCCTAAATATTTGAAACATTTTATAACCTATCATAGATGCAACGATAAAACTTATATATAGCAAAAAAACAATTTTTCAGTTTAATTCCATAAATTTGCCGTCCATTATATATTTTATTACATTAGATTGTATTAACTATTAAACATTATTTGCATATACGCATTTAATAATAATTTAAACTTACGGGTGCCACGTAGGCTGCAAAATCGCCTCCCAATTCTTTGTAATGATCTCTTATGTCGAACCCCAGACTGAAGAATATGTTATTCCATATGTACATATGCATCCTATAACAAATTGGCAAAGAATTTTTATTTTTAAAATATTTAATGTAGAATTAGAATCCCCTGGGAATTTAACCAAGTGTCATTAATTTATTTTCCAGCAAACTCTAAACATAAGATTAAACAAACGCACAACTTTAGATGAGCAAAAAAATTCGTATATAACTTGGTGTAATATATAGCTCATCTTTATTTATCAATATATTATTTTAACAAAGTATAAGAAACTTCGAACTCTCGCCGGGATTGATGGGCAGCGCATTTCCGCGTGAGATAGACAGGGCTCCTTTAGCAGCGGCTGTAGCCAAATCGGCCCCGACTTTGAATACTGCTCGGTCTCTGGCAACACGTTCTGCAAGGTCTTTCTCGCGGCAACTCACGCGTTCCTTGAAGTTCTTCGTTCCAATCCCGGGTCTGGCCTGGTACGTGATCTTCGAAACCAAGTCTAGATTCGAATACTGGATAAAAGAATTAATTTTATTTTATCAATTAAAATCTGTTAGGAATAACTATAATAATTGGCGTATTAAAGCACCTGATTGGTTGTTCCCTTTATATTGAATTTAAAAAAAAATATTCCTTTATGGTTTGTATTCTAATTAATAGGACAAGTATTCAAAATTAACAACCAATCAAAAAGTTTCCCTATATCCAAAACTGCTTAGTATTAGAGAATAAATATAATATTGGCGTATAAAGCACCTGATTGGTTGTTTGCTTTATATTGAATTTTAAAAAAATATTCCTTTATGGTTTGTATTCTAATTAATCGGACAAGTATTCAAAATTAACAACCAATCAAAAAGTTTCCCTATATCCAAAACTGCTTAGTATTAGAGAATAAATATTTTTTAACTCGTGTCATATGAATTAAAGTGGAAAGATGAGAAATTACACGGCAAAGATATCAATTTATATATAAACCCAACCTAAGAGGAATATTTTTGCTTACTTTAAAAATAAAAACCATAAATTTTAATATGCAGACCTGAATGATGAGAGTAGTAAAATTGAGATTAAATTTTTTTCGGGAGATATGCTTAAATTTTTTGAATGTATTAATGCCTTTATGCTGAAAACAGTCTAGGTAATGGCGGCACTAGCCTTTACAATCTCAGTGGGCTCAGTTTAAAAACAGGGAATTTTTTTTTAGAAATTATCTTTTAGGAAATATTTTTGAAATTATCATTTTTTGGAAATATTTTTAAAATTACCTTTTTTATAAAAAAAATTAAAAATTTCAGGGGCCTAAAATTTTAGGAGGGTCGAACCCCTTTCCCCCATAGTGACATTACCGAAATTAAATAGATTATTTGCTATAATTTTTTGAATAGTGTGGGTTGGCAAAGTTGAAAAGGAAAGATTTAAAAACTAATAAGTCAATGATATTAAGGCATATTTTTTTGGGAGGGGGGGGGGTATTAAGATAGTTTTTATTTTCAAAAAATCTCTTACTGTGCAGGCAGATGATGATAAAAAATAGGATTTCATGTTAGATGATATTTGTTTAATTAAAGCTAGCGTTTTAGCCAATATAGGGTTTTCGAGATGAGTACAGTACAGGTCCTCTTTATTGAAATTTGAAAGGTAAAGTTGAATATAATGGTAGGCCAAGAAACATATTTCGCATTTAAGATGATTATATGTGAAAGCTTATCAATTATAGAAGGAATGGGCTTGTCCATGAGCGAACCAAAGGACGATAAATTTTCCACCTTATCGAAAATTTGCTTATTCTCGTAAATATCAGCTTTAGCTATTAAAAATTTTATCCTTACACCCCCTCCAGTGCATACAATATATCAATGAAGGAAAAATAATAAAAAAAAATTTATAAAAATTTAACAGAGCCAAAAGTCTATAACAAGTGGAACATGGCGAAAGAACCCAGCTAATAGTGCTTCCTCTCTAGAGGAAAGGCATGGCTATCTTGCACGGCAATGGCAACAATAAAATTTAAAATATATACATATATATAGCATTTTGTATGTAATCAAAAAATATATAACTATCTTCGGCTCTAATGGCGTCTTCCCTGTGCTCTAGAAACGGCAAGATCCAGGAATATTTTTGAAATGGAACCGGAACTTTTTCTAACGAATTTTGAGCGTTGCGTTTTTTGATTAAAACGGATAAATTTCGCTTAAAAAGGGGACTAATCTAAAGCGGCATTTAAAATCGATATTAAAATATTTTGAATATGGGATATCCAAATATAGATAAGCAAGGCTTTGTCAGAACCAGCCCGTGATCAATTTAAAAAAAGTATTCATGCTGGCCAGTGATATTTTTGCCGGATCCGATAAATATTTTATTTAAAAAGAAACGCCTAAATCGTTACCTTGCGAAAAAAAGGATTGCGTTCGCTATTCAAAAAAGTGACGCGTTACTTAAGAAATACTAATATTATTTTATTTCTTCTCCATAGATAATTAACGACAATTGAGTTTCATAACTTTGATCAGATAAATAAGATCGCTTTCTGAGTACAGCTTTCAATATAATAAACACACGTTAAATCGGCGTAGATGATGGGAAAATTGTTTAATTAATAAATAAAAAAATTCCCCGTTAAAATAAATTTGAAATATTCGAGATTTTTTTTAAAAAAAATTTAAATTCCGAGTCGACAAAGATATTTTGCACAGATTGCCCAACTTGGCCCGAAAAAAATATTCTTTCGAGCTGCCAGGCCCACTGTAATAAACAAAAACGATAAAATATTGATTATTTATTTTGAGGATACTTTTTAAAATGATAAATAAGAATGCATACTGACTAATATTACATACAATATAATAATTTCGAGTCATTTTATAGAATGGCGATTTCTGCCAAATTATAATTCGGGCAATAATCTGATAGTAACATTACCGCGATCACGATTTCGCATAAAAACGAGTATATAATTACCGGTTTTTCTTTAAATTTTATTTTTTAAACCAAATTAAAATGATTATTCTTTTCGATCATTAAACTCCTAAACTTATCACTCTTTTTATCGTATTTTGTAGTAATGCTTTCATTTACAAAGTAAACTTTAAAAGCACTAGGAAAAATTAAAATGAATCTTGATATTTGGCGTCACATTTCTCTTTACAAAATATTTTTTTTAAAAGTTCAGTTTTAATTTTTTAAAGCGATGTATGATATATTAATAGTTTTTTTAAAAAAAAACACCTTGTTCTTTCTCACCAAAAAAATAAAATATAATATGCATGCTCTAGATGTAAAGTGGGATAAAGATCAATCGTTTATAAACTTAATATTTATTTTATAGAATACTCTTAATTATACACGGTAATATTTGTTTAATTTAATAATTTAATGTGATTATGTAATGTAATGTATATTATATTTTAATTACATTTTCATTTTCATGAGAGAAATCAAACATTTTTTAAATATAAACGTTGTGAACCTTATTCAATAAATCAAAAAGAGAATGGAAATTTTGAGAATCTGAATGAGGCGATGGATTGAACGTTCCATTTACCGATCTATTTTTGTTTAAATAAATGAATTAAAATTGATTATAAATGTTTTAAAAGAAAGAAATAAGGATAAATATATTTTATAAAAATATATACTGATTAACGTAAAATCCTCTAACGCACGCCGTTATGTGAAATTCTTTATCCTCTAACGTGATCACAGTTATGTAGGCTAAGTCTCCTTTTGTTATAATTAGAAAGATAGAAAATATTTATGTATAAAATGATAATTTTTAAAAAGAGGTATATATATTTACCCTTCATTTTGCGAGGGCCAGGCGGAGGGTTCCAGTGGTTGAAGGCTAAAGACTTCAAGCAAAGTATAGCCTTTTAAAAAAAACATTGTATTATTTACATATATAAAGAAAGATTTCCACGGATATTTGGGAAACAAGATCCTTATAAATTAATCGATAAGATGTTTTATAAATCGTAAAAACGATTTTAAGAGAGCACCAAGAAATGAAATTTTAATAAACACCAAAAAATTGATTTATTTGACTAAATCAGGATAATTTTTGATTTAAATCTAATGTTATATAAAATAAATATAATTATTATGCCTGGAAAAAAAACTACCCCTGAGGCAAAGTAATTCGTGGAATATACACTAATTTTAATATGGTATTTAAGCATAAACCTTCATGGCTAAATTAGCAAGATTGAATTGACTAAAAAAAATATATTATCAAAATTTTATATATCTAATATTTTCCCATTCACAAGAATTTAATATATTCTAAGTTTAAAAAAATAATTAAATTATAACATTATTATCAAAATATCGATCCAATATTTCTCAAACAGCGCATACTTATAAGCAGAGGTAAACTTTTGTTCAAAAATAAAAAATTCCAAGTTTTGAAATTTTCTTTTGAGAATGTTGAGAGAATTATCGTTCAAATTTTACCTAAAATTCAAAATCTATTATAAAAAGAGCTTTCTTTCCATCGTAGATAAATATTGATCTACTTTAAAAAAAATCTTTAATTTTATTGGTCTTCGAAGATTTTTGTTAAACCCTGCTTATAAGTAGTCTTATTAAACGGCTCGATTTGTTTGAAAACGGCCAACTCAATATTTTAGCCAAAAATTGCCTAAATCTAGAGATTTCGCTAATAGATATCCAAACCTTTGTGCCATCTATGAGCAAATTTTCAGGAATTCGTAGTTTTCTGAATAAAATATTGAGCCAGCCAGAAATCGGCTCAAATCGAGCAGTTTTACAACACTACTTATGGGAGATTTTTTGATATTTCCTTTAATTTTTAACAATCGAAATAATTTTTTTAAGAGTCTATATTAATTATACCAAAAAAAATAAATAATTTCAGGATTAACGCAATATATAATAAAATCATTTTTTATAATAATAAAAAATTAATTAAAATAAATTTAAAAATACTTAATAATGCAAAAAAAAATATGGAAAAAAATGAGGTATCATAATCCAAAAACGAATTAATTACTAAAAAAAATACAAACAAATAAAAAAGAATGAAATTTAAAACATGATTTTTATTCATAAAAAAATCGTGATTAAATTCAGGCGACAACCCTAGAACCTACGTAAATTCAATAAATCAAAAAAACCTTTTCCTTAGAAGAAACAGGATGTAAAGGTATAAGGGATATGTCCTTCGAGTATTTGGGTTGTATGTGTTCGGGCGGTAATTCGGCATTCGAGGCGTCTGCAATATTGGCTGTTTGTAATAACTTCGATATATTTTGCTTTTCGATGGCTTCTGAATAATTTGTTCATAATAATATTAAAATGCTTGGCGAAATCAATGATGTATATATACTACTAGATTCGACGATTCATTAATTGAAAGTGTTCCATACATAGGAGTCAACTGTAGCACCATTTTATGGTGTCCATGCCGACTAATAATCTTTATTTATTATTATATAATGGGCATTAATGTCATTTAATCGACGTGCAGACTACAAAAAAGCGCTACAGCTCACTCCCTATCTAAAGACATTGTATGAATCGCCAATTTAGTTGGGAACATAAATAATTTTGTTTTTAATTTATTTTTTTAAAAGGAATACTAGAATTTCTTTCGGTCTAATCCACTATAGCTGATTTAATTTTCGTATAATAGATTGATGCGAATTTTTTTTTGTTCCCCAAAATTTGGAGTATTTTAGAAAACTTGTAATTATTTCTCTCCAGAATAAAAACTAAAACGCTAAGTTTATTACTCAGATCTAAAACCACAGGTATTACTGAATTCCCCATAAGATGTAAATAGAAATTTCAATTTTCATACAATTTAATTGCTCAAAAAATATTATAATATATCGTTTAGAAATTTTTACTATTTTTTTAAAGTGAATTTAGTTTTGATTTTTTGAATGTTATTTAATCATTACTCTAGACTTCGGGTTTATGCCATAAATGGGGAAGGGGGGAGTAATAACCTTTTCTAAAAATACCTAGACAAATTATCAAATGAAAGATAATTCTAAGTGCTATTAAAATTACTCATCACTCTTAGGCCCTGGTAAAATTTTTTAACTTTTAATATTAATCTTGAATGAGTAAGAAAAATCTAAGAATTTCAAAATACTTTTTAAAATTCATTTTTAGCATCAAGCGCATTTTTTAAATTTTAATCTGTGTGGTAAAAAGGGTGGGGGGGGGGAGGAAATAAATTGACTGCGATAAAAAAAACTAAATCCAAAATGACCCCTCCGTGCTTACGACCTTGAGTGAGAGAAATTATCTAATTTTTTATCACTAGATAAAGGCCACATGCTTATCTAAAACAATAAGGAATAAAAGATCCTTAAAACACTTCGTGTTTATTATTTTAGGGAATTTATGCAATTATTATTGAATATAGTTTTCTTTTAATAAATATTTATTGTTTCGTGGTTAAAAAAATTCGCTGTAATGAGTTAGCGATAAAAGTTTGTAATTCGCGGAAATGAATTCGTGATAATGTGTTCGCGATATTGTCTTACTGTAAATGTTTCGTGGAAAAGAATCGCCGAATTGGTTTCGCGTTATTACTTTCGCTCTAAAATTCTTTCGCGATAAGTTTTCCTAAAAAGTGTTTCGCGATAAAGTCAAGGACAGGCTCAAAATGTTTTGTTCATGCTCAGACCCAAACTTAGGCGCGTTGAGCGCGATTTTACATCTTCCTAACAAGACATCTCGATTAATTTAAAATATTTGTAAGTATAATACAACTTTAAATAGCCAAAAAATCCTAATTTCTAAAAATCGAATTCGCTCTTTTTAAACAAAAATGTTTTTTATATTTCCTTCGATTTTTCATTTCGACAGATATTTCGAGAAAAGAAAAGATCGATGCCATATATAATTTCAATTTTTTCTTCAAAAATAATTAATATTTTTTTAAAAATAATTCATATGTTGTATTTTTTTTTTTTTAAATATCCCATGAAAAATTAATTTGAATCCTCAAATTCTATTATTTATTATATATATACATTTATTCTCATCTCACATTACAGAGAATTCATAAACCGGTGAAAAAAAATATAACCTCATCTCATCATCATCAGCTCATTTCATTAATTTAATGATTTATCTTGGCAAAAATATATAAATTTATTATCAATTTTTTTATTTATAATATTATTTTTATTACTAGTATATAAATGGACAGATGGAAAAATTATCTATGTATATACATACAAAATATGTATATTTTTATTTATTATTAGCCTTTGCAAAAATACAACTTTGTACTCGGGAATGGCTGGGAAATATTGCGTGAAATGAAACAATATTTGCATTATTAATTAATTTGTTACACTTTAAAAAATCATAAGTGTATGATTAATGATTCATGAGGAAAATGTATTTTCAAGCACAGTTGTTGAGTATGTGTATGGTTTAATGATTCAATTATTTATTATTTTTTATACTTTTAAACTGTTTTTGATCGACCATAGAAATTGAAAATACATAATATAACAAGTTAAACAAGACAAAAAAAATTGTGACCTATCAAATTATCCTGTCCGATGAATGTATTGACGTATGACAATGAGGCGCCTTCTATGCCATTGAAAGCATCGCTTAAGTCCAGGGAATTCAGAATATCCTTTATGTGCCTCACATGGATTCTTACCTCTCTGAGGGTGTAGGATTCTATTTTATAATATTTTGAAATGGCAAAAATGTTATTTAAACTAAAAAATAAATAAATGTAATTATTGTTATTATATTATGTAATATTATCGATTGAAACTATTATAATGAAATGACTATCTTCCTTCTTATATTCAAAATAAATATATCTAAGATGGTAATTAACGGAATTACATTCACTATAAAAAGTCATGGTTCTTCTTTCCTTCCTATTTTATACGAAGCATTTTAAATTTTTTTATATAAAACTAGACTCCTGAATACAATTTTTTCTAGATGAATTGACTCGAATCTTAAATTTTAAAATGAAAATTGTCCTACAAATTTAGTAAACTTATAATCAAATCAAATACGTACAAATAAAATATTTATTTTAAAAAATCGTTATTTGAAACCTTCGACAATTTTAAGCAAAGAATTGTCTATTAAGTTTTGAAAGGTTTTCAGCTCCGAAAACTGGTCTAGAGTAGTTCCTTGGAATTGCAATGAGAAACATGTGCGATGAAAGGTCTCCTCTCTATCCATCAAAACTTGATGAATTTCTTGAACCATCTCATTAGGCGTTACCTTATTCGAACAAAAAATTTTTTTTTTATTTAATATAAAGGTTTTTAATTTATCACATATCTAATAAAATAGAATAAGTGTGGTCAATGACGTATCCAGAGCGGTTTTCAAATAGGGCGTGGTTTGTAGGGAAGGCCATTTTGTAGGAATACGATCCAATATTTTAAAAATGGGTTCTGTTGGTTCCATTTTTCCAAATATTTAAAAAAAATATATTTAACCTGCAGCTCAATGTACTCCGAATTAGTGTACTGAATATTTATACTGAACACGTGATCTTGCACCATAATAACCTCCTCTGTATCCTTTTTAGAAATTGGGATACTGTCTATCGTTGATAATATATTCGAATTTCGTTTGCTTGTAGCGATAGATTTTAAGGCGCCATCTCTGGGGGGTGGTGACGATGTCAGCATTGAAAGGTCGTTGAGAAGCGTTTTACAGATGTCCATCATGGTTTGGAGGGCGAGTCATATTATTCAAAAGATTATGGTGATTATTCAAAATGATTGATAGCTTTTGTTGACAAATAAAATTTATATAATGAATGATGAGGGAAATAAATTAAAAAAAAATCATAAAAGAATAAAATTAGTATTTTTTTTTCCTTCCACCCTATTCGGCATCATCGAACTGTTCCATTCTTTTAAAAAAAGAGAGAAATATCATAAACTAAATTTTGCAAATGGATTAGGTTATAGTAGTATTTTTTATTAAAATATTAAAATTCAACAATTTGAAAAAACTTTTAAATAAACTTATTTTGTAAATAATTATATTATTATTATTTTAAATAAAATAGTTTGAAATAATTCATTTTTTTTTCATAAATATTTAAAATATTATCGATTTTAAATAAGATTAGAAAAGCGAAATACCAATACCGCCATAAAATTCGCGGCATATTGTAAATATTTCATTTTAGTTATACCATCCAGCCTTTATAACATATTTCGTTTTTTTCTATAGGAAATAAGTTCATATCTAGTAAAAATGTAATATCATAGCCTATTATATATTAATTAATGAGAGCTAATAAGATATCCGAAATGTTTAAATTTTGTGTTTCAATTTAATAACTATCTTTATAATTGTAACTAGCAATTAACTTCCGTTTTATTATCCTCGAATTTAAGATGAAAGGAAGAGCATATACATGCTCTGGAAGAAAATAAATCATGTTTCTAATTTCATCGCTTAAATTCCGTTATAAGCTTTATTCAATAAATATGGTAAAAATTATCATTTAGCATTATAAGGAAAAAAAAACGAAAGGAAGAGAAGCTATTTAGTTAAGATTTTTTTTAACAAAACAAAAATAATCAACAAAAGACTTTCAACCTAGTGGATCTAAGATCTTGATTCGTGAGGGCGGGGGTGGGCAGGGAGGTTAAAAAGCATAAATATTTTAAATAAAACTTAAAAAAATCCCATTTATTATGTTTTAAAATCTAAAAAAATCCCATTTATTATGTTTTAAAATCTAAAAAATTGAAATGTCGGGATTAAATATGCCACCGTTTTTGGCCAAACAAAAGTAGTTTACAGTTATATCAAATTATCAACTCAACAAATGCACATTAATTGAATCATAGTTAATAAATCTTCAGCAAAAAACTAAGCCTTTTCGAGAAGAATTAACCCTGTATATCTTTCTCTCTCCCCCCCAGAAAAAAAATCGAAGGTTGTGCTTGAATATCACCGAAAATATACAAGAGATCTGCAGAGGTTCAAAATTTTAAGTCTGGCCCTAGATTTAGCCAAAATGAGTTGAGTTCAGCCTGGAGTTTATCTTCATTTTTGATCCGGCCCAACTCGATTTTTTTATGCAAAAAACCTGCGTAATTTGAACCTTTTTAACATATTTATGGAAAAAAAATTTACTCTTTGAAGGACTGCTCAAAAATAGTTTTAAACATTTTTGTAATATATTAATTAATTCCCCCCCCCCCAAAAAAAAATTGATAATCAATCTTATTCAAATTTTTTTTTGTAAATTACCATAAAATTTGCGTATCTAATAATAAAAAATAATTGACACAATTAAAGTCCATTTTAATTTATCTAATTAGGAACTAATTATGGCGATATTTTCTTTTAGACCCCTCTACATAACAAATTATAAATCTCAATCTCATTTGCCGTATATGGGCAAAAAAAATATAAATTTACGCTCAAATTAAATAGGTTTTATATTTTGTTCGTGTTATAATTTCATATTTATATTTATTATATATTTTTTTAAAAAAAAACTTTTCTGTTTCTTCTATTTACCCCGAAAGTCAACAAGCAGGGAGAAAAGTAAAATAATATAAATCTTTTTAAAATTAATTACCTGTAATTTCTGAATTCTAAAAGATAATTATTCTAGAAGATGATAAATTGTACGCGTTGCTTTCCTCGAAATAAACGTGTTTTTAAAATGAATGTCGTTAGAAATGTACGATTTAGATTAGTCCAAAAATTTGACAAATAATTTGATACATAAAATTCTAAAACTCGGAATTTATTATATTATGTCGCGAAAATAAGTAAGGTAGTTTAAAACTATTTTTTAAAATTATATAAAAATAATAAAAAGGAAGTATTAACGTAAACTATTTTTATTTTTATTTTTTAAAAGCAAAAAATAAAATTAATAATGAAATTGGGAAAATAATTTCTCTCAAAAAAATAATAATTATAATATAAAAATAATGATAACAAAAAAACATTGTATATTTGCAATGCAAAATTTTATTTTTATTTATCAAATAAATACATTTCCTGCCCTTCCCTTAATAATTAATTTGCTTTGTTTACATTTATCATATATGAAGTGACTTTAATTTTAAATTGCCAAAAATAGTATTAAAAAATAAAATATGGGATGATTGGTGGAATGGAGTGCTCAAGGGGGGCTTGGCATTTTTATTGTCATAATCAAAATCAAAAAATGCTTTTATATTTATTTTATTCTATTATTTAAACAAAAATATATATTTTTAGAATCTTATCAAAGGCTATAAAAATAAAAATGAACTTTACTCTTTTTTAGAGATATTATTATTATACCCAATTCGGCCCAGTCTAAAATTATTTTCAACCGAGCCTGCCTGGCTCATAAAATATACTTGGTACAACCGGCCCCTTATGTTCTTTTATGAAGGAAAACGTAAAACATTTTCGGGCTGGACCGATTTTTAACCCAAACTTTCCTCATGTCTAGTGTGCCTTTATTAATGTGTCCTTAAGAACAATATTGGTAGTCTAAGCTGGGGCGTTTAAAGAAAACCGTCGCTGACACTTGATAAATTATTGGTAAGTCACTGAAACTCGGGGAAATTTTTAATATAATTTATTTTTTTTTATTAAAAAATATTAAATATGCGGTCGACTGGATAGTGGAAACTTTTTGATGTAATAATAATTCTTCATTGCTCAAAAAAAAGTAAATGCATATTTTTTCAATAATTTAAATTTAACCAAAAAAATTTTTAAATTTAACAAATATTTTTTCCCCCTTTTTATGGATTACATAAATTTTACCGAGATCATAATTTCATATATAAAAACCATGGCATTTTAAAAGATCATTAGCTTCTTATTAAATCACATATAACAGCACGAAAATAGAGAAAAATGCAGCATCTTATAGAGTATGATGCTCAACATGTTACATGTTCAAGCAGCTATTCTATATGGAAGGGTTAATATTGTATTAATTTTTAAATTTTATTTTATTAATGACGCAGTACGCACTATATTTGAAAATATTAATCTTCCTGTGAAAAAATTTATTCATCTATTATATCATTTTGTGTCCAGGACTTCTCTAAGTGACAGTCTTCGTTTAATAGACTAGGCACAAAGTACTATTGGAAAATGGTAAAATATATCTAAAATTTTTCAATAGTTTTTTTAGGTATGCAATATTTAGAAAAATACATACACAAGCCATTTCTTATAAAAAATAGGAGGCCCTGGGCATATGATCGAAATAGATGTACCCCATATTTTTAAAAAGAAAAATAACATAGGGAGGATTTTAAAATCAAATGCCATTTGAGTTGTAGGTGGGATATCAAGAAATGATGAAAATTTTTTTATTGCTGAAACTGGAAAAATAGATAAAGAGACCCTTCTGGGTATAATCAGTAAGCACGTCCATACTGATTCAACAATAATGACGGACAAATGAAAGGGGTAAATTAAATATTCATATATCTTAAAATTTAATATTTTTCCAAGTTATAACAATCTTAATGGAAATGGATATATGCTCATTACTCGGTCAAATCTAAAATAGCAGGAGGGAGGCTTGATTGGTTTTATTTTGTAACCTTAATGAAGAAGGTTCCTCCATATACAACTTTAATTCCCCAAAGAAAACAATTTATCGAAAAGAGATCAAAATACCTACCTTAAGAATCCCAGTCACCATAAACTTATACAAAATATGTCATTCCCCTATTAAAGAGGAATGGGCGCTCTGCACTCGATATTCACAAGGTATATTTAAAATAATTCTAGAAACCTTGTAGACTATATTATGAGATTCACAAAATTTAAAAAGCGCGAGGAATGCAATTGTAAGTATTTTTAATCATATTTAATTTTCAGATTCCATATAAAACGTGATAAAGAGAACGATGATATAAAATAGTATTTACTATATTCAGCGAAATGATTCAATTACAGATTTATTTCGATATAATATGGCATGGTTTCTATAAATGATATTGGGTTCCAATAGTTACAGTGGATGCTTTCATTGAGTTATTCGTGGTAAATATTATCAACAAAAATAGAAAGTAAAATAAAAAAAAACATTCAAACAAACTCTACAAGGATAAAAATCAAAATCTAGAGCTTATATTTGAACACAGATATTACATGTAATGATATTAATAGGCTTAGTACACTTAAGTTACTTGCGTTAACCTGACTCCTAAGAACAAGATTGCAATATTTACCAACAAAAAATGGTAAGAAATTATGTCCATGTTGCTATCTCGAATTTTTAAAGGATGAATTCCTGTTTTGATGTTGAAGAATTTTTTTGTTCCCCAGATTTATACCATTTCTTAAAAAAATATAACCATTTAAAAAAAAAAACATTAAGGTAAAAGAGATTTTAATATATAAATATAATGATAATGAATTCAGAATTTAATCCTTATTTTATGATTTTTGTATGCTCAAACACTCAAAAATTAGGTGTAAAAAGATTTTATAGTATCTTATTCGGATAAAAATTGATTCTAAAAATCACATTTTCTATAGAGGTCTGATTGTTGAAAAATATATGAAATTATTACACCAATAAATTATCAGAACTGTTTATTATCAAAACGAATAAACGAAGTCAAAATAAATTGATTGTTAAATATTTTAAATATGAATTGGTTTACATAATCTACTTTTTTTGAAAATTTTAAACATTTTTATTTTTAGGTTTATGTGGATACTGGAAATATGAAAGTCACAGACTCTGGATGGTGAGAATCGATGAGACGGAAAAGTAAATCTTTTATTAAGGTAACAATATTTAATATATTTTAAATTTGAAGATTTTTGATTGCTACATGACTATATTTGAAAATTTTCATTTATAGAGGTTTTATTTAAATTTGTTAAGCTTGATTTGTTTCTTATCTTTTATTTTGTTTTGTTTTGTATAGATTTATTTTATTTCGAAGTGTTTTTGTTACTTTGCTCTATTATGCTTCTTTTTGTTTTGCAAAGTTTTGTTTCGCTGTTTTGTTTCGCTTACTTTTGTTTCGCTTAGTTTTTTTGGAATGTTTCGTTTCGATTTGTCATGTTATGCTTCTTTTTGTTTCATTTCGTTCTGTCATGCTTCGTCCTGTCTCACATTTGTCTCGCAGCGTTTTGTTTCGTTTTGGTAAGCCTAACAAAGCCAGCCCTAACAAATCAGAGCCTGACAAAGCCAATCATGACAAAACCATGCCTGACAAAACCAATCTTGAAAGCCAAGGCTGGCAAAATCAAGTCTGATAAAGCCAATCATGATAAAGCCAAGTCTGGCAAAGAGAATCCTGATACCACCAAATCGCGAGAAAGTCAAGCGTGATAAAGCCAGGTCTGACAAAACCAATCCTGACAAAGCTAAAACTGACAAAATCAAAATCAAGCCTGACAAAACCAATCGTGACAAAGCCAAGCTACAAAACCAAGCCCAACAAATCTAATCCGGTTTAAGTCATACTTGACAAGCCTAATAAATCCTAGCCTAGCTTGGGAGATTTAACTAGGCCAGATCAAACAGAAAAGTAGGCAAATAATGAACCGGGCCAAATTAAACAGGATCGAATCGAATAAAGAAGAGGAACTATACGAAAAAACAGACCCGAAGTGAACAAGCTCGAGCCGAACAAAGTACGACCCCCCTTTCCAAAACAAATAAAGCAGATCCCATATTAAAAAATTTACCATACAAGATTTACCAAGCCCGAAGCAAATCGAACCATGCCTAAAACTAAAACAAAAAAATTTGCAGGACTCCCCAGTACACGAGGTACTGGAGAGCCCTGAGACCACGACGGGCCATTCTGACTATTTTATTATTTGTTTATATATTTATAACACAATAATAACAATTAACATGTCCGCGATGGCGTATTGATACATAATAGATATAAGTATAAAAATACAAAAGAGAGTTTGATTGACGGCTGGGGAAAATTTTTGAGGCTCTATGGTCAAGGGAAAAACAAATTAGTTTTAAGTAAAAATTTTATCGAAAAACAATTGTTTATTTCCATGACCGCCTATTTATAGGCATAGGACTTTATTTCTGAAGTCGCGGGTGACTGGTTAGAGTCCCTATTATAATTTTTCCCCTGTCGTCCAGCGCGCGGGAGAAGAACATATATATATATAAATGATTATTGAAAAGTGCGCGCCGTATGACTGGGGGGGGGAGGGCCTTGCTTATATTGCTGTGGCTTATCCCCCCTTGTCCCTTTCTGTACTCTATTTATGATATTACATAATTTACCCATAGGGGATTTATTTTTCTAGGGGAGCATGGCTCTCAGAAAGGGACAAAATGTTGGCTATTGAGCCTGATTATAATAATTATGTGTATGATGATTATTGTAAATTCATATGTATTTTGATTTAGTAATAAAATAGTGTATAAAGCATTTCTAATTTATATATATGAGCGGTGTAACGTGATATTTTAACTTAAATTTAAATTAACTCCCTTTAGTAATACTGACATTTAAGATTGACGTTATAATATATTTTAATAAAATATCATTTTTAACTTAAATTTAAATTAACTCCCTTTAGTGATACTGACATTTAAGATTGACGTTATAATATATTTAAAAAAAATATCATTATAAAATTTAGTAATACTGACATTTATGACTGACGTATAATGTTAAAAGTTTCTATTATTTAGTAATACTGACATTTATGACTGACATGTAATGTTTAAAGTTTCTATTATTTAGTAATACTGGCATTTATGACTGGCATGTAATGTTAAAAGTTTCTATTATATAGTAATACTGGCATTTATGACTGGCATATAATGTTAAAAGTTTCTATTATTTAGTAATACTGACATTTATGACTGACGTATAATGTTAAAAGTTTCTATTATTTAGTAATACTGACATTTATGACTGGTATTTAATGTTAAAAGTTTCTATTATTTAGTAATACTGACATTTATGACTGACGTATAATGTTAAAAGTTTCTATTATTTAGTAATACTGACATATATAACTGACATGTAATGTTAAAAGTTTCTATTATTTAGTAATACTGGCATCTTATGTTAAAAGTTTCTATTATATAGTAATACTGGCATTTATGACTGGCATGTAATGTTAAAAGTTTCTATTATTTAGTAATACTGACATTTGACTGACAGTTACTGCTTAAAATTTATATATAGCAATATTGACACTTATGATCGACAGATGATGCTTAAAGTTCGTTGCAATATTGACACTTATGACTGACAGGTACTGCTTAAAAGTTATATATAGCAATATTGACACTTACGATCGACAGATGATGCTTAAAGTTTGTATTTTTTCCAATATTGACACTTATGAGTGAGATAATTAAAATTTATAAGATAGATTATAATTTCTAATATTTAGTAATATTAACATCTAACTTTCAACCTTTTTAAATTTCTTACTATAAATAATTTAACGCCGAAAACGTTATAGCTTAATTTAAAAAAGGTTTGATCAAAATTTATATACACATGGTAGGTTAAATTTATTCATATTTAAACATAAATTACATATCATTCATCTAATGATTCACTATTGTGACTTTATATAAAAATAACTAATTATAAAATGCTATATAGTATAAATTCGCAATTGAATAGAATTGAACTCATAAAAAAGATGCCAACCTATTGTACCTTTTATAAAATTAATTATTAATAAAAAATATAAAATGCAATAATATTTAATAAAAAAATGCTTACCGATTATACTTTCAACTAAATTGCGATAAATATAATGGAATAAAAGTATAAGAATAAATATTAATTACATTGATAAAAAGGATGCCAACCTATTGTACCTTTTATTAAAATAACTATTAATAAAAAATATAAAGTGCAATAACATTTAATAAAAAAATGCTTACAGATTATACTTTCAACTAAATTGCAATAAATATAATGGAATAAAAATATTAGAATAAATATTAATTACATTGATATAATTCTAACAAAATGATTGTTATTTTCATTACATATATATTTTCTTTAAAAATTTTAATATTATTAAAAAATTTCATGGGTGAATAATAAGCCCACTTATATTGGGTATAAATTAATATATTTGTCTGCAACAATGTGGCCATAGATAATATTTCCACCTCTGTTGCCCAGACACCATTTCCTATAACATTTCTGTCAATTAGGTATTCTTCTACAGGATATCCTATGAATTTTTCCATTTCCAATTTGAAATCGTTGCTCCTCATAAAGGCAACGCATTTCTCCCTCAGGTAATTATAATTATCCTGACTATTTGATATTTCTTGACTTATACACCTATAAACATGTTAAATAATTAAATATTATATAAAGTAACTAACCTAAAAAAACAGTTTCCATCACCCACAATATGATCGGTTGTGAATATTTCCTTTAATATACCACTTTCGATCTTGGGATAACGGCCAATTACTTTGAAATTGAACCGTTTAGAGTGGTATACTTTCCAATTCCTAGTTATGGGCAAAAAAACCTCACCAATTTTCTTTGGTATTATTATATCAACAATAATTTCGTCATCTAAATCTGATAATTAAATAATAACATATTTTTAAAATATATTACCTTTACCCTGATCTTGTATGCCTACATATCCTCCCTCTCTTACTATACTTTTATAAGCTTTTGTTGGATCTTCACCAAATGTATCTGCATATAAAAAAATAATTAAATAATTTTATATATTATACCCTTTCTCTTGACATGGTTTATGTTGGTGTCCTCCTTTCCAATTTCCAACCCTAGGATTTTAGCTTTATCAAAAATAAAAATTTTTCAATTTTTTAAAAATAAAACTTTCTTCTGCAACATTTATTTCACAGGACATCTCTTCAAATAGTGTTTCTTCTAATGGAAATATAATAATTAAAAATATATTTTCCTTTTTTCCAAATGCATTTGATTACCTTCTCCTTCTCCAACTATAGTTTTAAGAAGCCTACAAACTTAATTATTTGTTTAATATTATTTTTATGAATTAACTGTATATATTACCTTGATCTTGAACATTTACTATAGTTTCACAATGTAACATATTATTAGGTTTTTTAACTGTTTCTTTACCATTAAAAAAGTTATATTTGTATATTTAAAAAATACCTTTGTTCCCCTCGATATAGTGTTTTAAATTACTTAGGTTAGTCTTTATACGTAAAATTTTTCCCGTTAAGGAAGATAATTCAACATTGCCTAAATATGTATAAATATTTTGTTAAAAATTAGGATTTTACTATTAACAATTTTAACAATTGTATATGGGCCTACCCAAGGCTGCATCATTTTCCCTCCTTTCCTGCCAGCTCACCGATGTTAAATCATTTATGGATAAGAATAATGTTACAACCGATATTTATAATATTAAGTCAATATTTAAATTGGATCAAAAAGAGTTTGATAATTATATTGAACAACAAAAAGAAAAGTTTATGAAAAGTATATTTTAAAATAATATATATATTTTTAGATATAAAAATGAAAATTATTACCCAGTGATCAATATGATCATTGAACAATTAAATGAAAGATTTAATTATGAATCATTAAACTTTTTAAATCAGATTTCTATTTTTACTCCTGCGGGATTAGCAGATAATGAGAATATAGAAATTTCCCAGATATCTGAAATTAAAAGTTTATATAATTTTGATGCACAGAAAATTATAGATGAATTTTCCAATTTTAGACCATTATACTTAGATTCCTTATCAATCATTTATAGTAAAGATTTAATCAATATTAGAAAAAATGATACCTTATATGATGAAAGTTATTAATTTTATTAACAACTTAATTTTAATATATGTTTACAGGTGAAAACATTATAAACGATAGTAAAATGACCGAAACAAAAAGATGGCTGAAATATTCATTTATTCTACCATATAGATTATTAATTAAATCAAGTTCTTTTCCTTATCTTAAAACGTTATATAAATATCTTATAACCCTCCCCACCACCTCATGCTCTGCTGAAAGAGCTATGAGTAAAGTCAAAATTGTTAAAACACGTATTCGAAATAAAATCTGATTCTTTTTTAGAAAATTTATTATTAATATCAAGTGAAATTGATATATATGATACATTTAAAACAGAAGATATTATTACAGATTTCGCGTTAACTTCTAAAAGACTATCTAATCTTTTAATTGGATAATCCTTTTTTTTAAATATTAAACAGCAATAAATTTAGACATTTGGCATTATAATTCCCTTTTTTCAATATTTGAATAAATTTGGATTACTAATCCCTTATTAGTTAGTCATTTTTAATTAGTCTTTTTCTGCACATATATTTATATTCCTTATGTTATATCTTTAACATTAAAAAAAATTATTATGTAGCAATTATAATATCCATTTTTTTAAAATATTAAATAGCAATAAATTTAGACATTTTGCATTATAATTCCCTTTTTTATTTGAATAAATTTGGATTACTAGTATTAGTTAGTTATTTATAATTAGTCTTTTTCTGCACACATATTTATATTCCTTATGTTATATATATTTTTAACATAAAAAAAATTATAAATAAAATAAAATGTGGAAATTAAAATATATAATTTTTTAAATTTCGATAATTTTTATACCAATAAAAATTCTTCCTGTAATCTATATATCATTATTTCATAAAATATTCAGACTTATATTTATAAGATTATAATTTATTCTATCTTTAGGGGGGTAGGCTGAGGTTTTTGAGGGGGGTTTGCATCCAGTGAAAATCCTGTCATGTAGACACTGCTATCAGTTAAAAGAAAGATTATATTGGTACTATGATTTTAAAGTCATAAATTCATTTTGAGAAGTGGTGCAAGCTTTTTGGGCCATATCAGGTTAATGGCCTATATTTAAAAATATTCTATAAATTGAAAGAGATTTTTATATTGAGTACATCCCTGCTTATAAATTGCAAAATTAAAAAAAGATGAGGCAATTACAAATTCATTTTGTAACATAAGTATCAAGCATATAAAAAAATATTTAACCCTGTATTGCATGTACTATGTTAGAATAATTTTTTTTTGGCAAACTAGATTTTTTATTTCTCTAGATACTATTGATAATCTCATGGCTCACTTTTTTAAAAAAAATTCTAAATTTCTTAGAAGATGAACGGTATGTGGATTTAAATACACATTATGCAATTAAGGATACAAATTTCAATTATTTCCACAATAATTTTTATTGTACTTTAAACTATAAATATATAAAATTTTATTTAAATATAACAAATATTAAAGGTTTAAACATTATAATTTTCATGAAAATCTATAAAACAATTATTTGTGGGTGTAAAACATAAATATACACCACATTTTTTGCAAGATACTTTTGTTATAAATAAGCATCCTGGCATTTTACATCTACCCTTTGTCATGAATGAGTGACATATTTGATGATATTTATTGCGCGAACATTAATAAATAAAATTGTGCAGGTTCATTATTAGACCGTATTTTAATATTTTGTTTTATTTTATTTTTAGATATCGAAATTAAGTTTTGTTAAATCATAATGAGATTGTATTTTATGCGCTTCCCTATAAAAGGGAAGCGAAATATTATAATAAAATTATTACTATTTGTTTTTTGATTATAAAATTATTTTTCTTGTTTGGTGAATAAAATTTATTCTATTATTGGATCATCATTCTAATATTCATAAGTACCGGTCATAGTTGGTGCCGTGACCAAAAACTAAAGTAAAAACAATTATTTTTATAAATTATTTTTGGGAAAATATTTTTGTGGAGCGTTGTGGTGGATAAGACCGTCAATTTGAAGAAACGTCAAGAGCAAGTACCGTCAAGAACAAGTACCGTCAAGAGCAAGTACCGTCAAGAGCAAATACCGTCAAGAGCAAGTACCGTCAAGAACAAGAACCGTCAAGGACAAGTACCGTGTGTAATAAGGGACCGTTTGGGGTTGAAAGACCGTCAAGAACAAGTACCGTCAAAAGAGGTGACCGTCGAGTGAAAATTTTCAAAAGACGTAAAGTACACGGAAGTGCTGCCCAAATTTTTGCCTATATAAATCTATTAGACGAAAATCGAAAATTTACTAAAAAGGTAAAGTACACGGAAGTGCTGCCCAAATTTTTGCTTATATAAATCTATTAGACGAAAATCAAAAATTTACTAAAAAAGTAGAGTACACGGAAGTGCTGCCCAAATTTTTGTCTATATAAATCTATTAGAAGAAATTCCAAAAAGTTTATTAGAAAGCAAGTTACACGAAAGTGCTGCCGATTTTTTTTTTCAAAAGACGTCAATACACGTAAGAGATTAAAGATTAGCGGAAGGTATTGATTTTTTTTTGAAATTGATAAATGTATATGTGTATTATTGGAGTTTTTACCTTATTGATTTTATCTTATTGTCTGACATTACAAGTAGTTAAGATATTTTTGGTGAAATTAATTATTAATTTTTTGTGAATATTTTATAAAATTTAGTGTTGTTAGAGTAATAAATTAGGAAAAATTGAAATACGTAAATATTTTAATGAAGGGTTTTAAAATTACAAAATATGTGGAGTTGCAATATAATGTATTGGGAGCGGTGGTAGTGTTGATGATATGGTTGTGTAGTTTATATTTTGGAAGGAGAATGCGAAGAGAAAGGAGTATTAGGATTCGTGGGCAATCGTTGTTGGTAGAGGGGCATAATGGAGAGGATGATAGGTTGGGGAGAGTGACGTGGTTACCGGTTCAAGAAATAATGAAGGGTTGGGTCAATAATGAAGAAATTGACCGGTTAAAGAACGAGAGGATAGATGACAGACATTTGGATGTATACCGTGGACGTCAAGATATGCCAAGGCCGTTCAACAGTGGGGGACAGAGAGGTCGGAATGGTAGATGTTATAAATGTGGGGAGATGGGTCATATTGCGGTGAATTGTAGAGATGTCAAATGTTTTGCGTGTGGGGAGATGGGACATATTTCGACATATTGTCCGGGCAGAGCAGAGAGAATACGTTGCACGGGTTGTGGAAGATTTGGACATGTGTTAAAGGATTGCCGAGTGGGAAAGGTGGAAACAAGGGCAGGTTTTCCACAGAGAGGAGAGTCGTCGGGGGTCGTGAATATGAGGAGTATGACGGAGATAGTTGGAAAAGAAGGAAAGGATATTGGAGAGGAGATGACGTGTTTCAAGTGCCGAGAAAGGGGACATTGGGCCAGAGATTGTAATAAAGATTGACTATATGATGGGAAGGAGAGTAAAATAATGACCGTGGCGTTAGGAGGAGGCAAGAAAGAGTTGAGAGTTAAAATGTTGCAACAGGAGGTTCAAAGGGAGTTAATGTATCTGCCGAGTCCAAGGGTATGGTTCGATATCAACGGGAAGATGGTATCTATGTTATTTGATACCGGAGCAGCTATTTCGGTGATGGGATATGAGGATTTTAGAAGACTTTGGCCGGGTAGTAGTATAATTAGAGACGTTATGCAAGTGAGGCAGTTTGATGGATCGGAGATGGAGATGATGGGAAGAGTGCATATTGGGGAGGTAGGAAGAGAAGGATGTAAAATGTTGGACTTATGGATAATTAACCGAGACGTTGAGCCGGTGATGGGATGGGATTGGATTACAAATGTAGGGCCGAAGTATGGATTTTGGGGAGTATTTGCGCGATGGGGAGTCTTTGTGGCGATCGAAGAAGATATTCGGGAAGACTTGATAAATATGGTCCGAGTGAATGAGGAGGAGAGAATGTCGAGAAGAAATTTGGAATGGATGGAGGGCCGAGATAATATTGAAGTAGACGATGGAAGATCCATGTTTTGGGGGGAAAGCGAAGAGAATGCGAGAGAATATATGTTGGGAAGAGGTCCGATTTATGTAGATGGAGAAATAGGAAATGTCCAAGACAGTAGATATGGAGTATTGAGGCCGCTGGTTAGTGAGAAGAAGGGAGAGAATTTTGTAGAACAAGGAGTTGCGAA